CTCGCGAGAAACCGTCTAAACGTCTTATCAACCTTCATCGGATAATATCGGTACCTGAACCTGAACGTAATGTTTATGAGTAATGGTTCGAGATCGTGGCAGTAAGGTCGACTCCGGTGAACCGTGCACGGAATTTGAGATTTAGATACAAGAATCGAACTTGCCCCGAACAATCTGCATTGTCGTTACGCATTACAGACCTGGCCCATTTCGTTATTATTCCGTCTGGTATCGGCCGTTCAATTATCATACCATGGAAATTCTATTTTCTGGACGCAGTACTACTTGTCCAAACTCCACGTGTATTTTAAGTAAAAGCACAGCTGCATTAAAGTATAATCATCAGTATAGCCATCACTTTTGCATCATACGTAAAACACTTGGCGCGTACTTGTATTATTTCAAACAATGCGATGTAGAATCGCAGTTATAAAAAGCGTCACGTTCGTGATAATAGGAAATAGAAAAAAAAAGCTGGAATCGACGAAATGCGATTAATAAGTGTGCAGATAAGTCTTTCTCCAATTAAACCTTGTAAGCAAGATTGTTCCGAGCACAAAGTAACGGTTTACACATCTCTTCATCCTTAATTAAAGACACTGCAAGCGTTAATTAGCTGCGCGCATATTATACGTTTGCAAGTACGGTTGCAAAATTGGTCGTGTGAACGACGGCATTGATAAAAGTACGATAATGTGACCGTCTTTTACGACGCAAATAATTCATCGTATGTGGCGGTACAAAATATAACGAGTGCGTGACACACTGCGCAATAAATATCACGGATGAGAGAGAGAGAAAAAAATCGCATAGGCAGTAAAATTGACCGATACGCATAGCATTCGAGAAGCGCGAGTATTTATCCGTTAAATCGGGCAAACGCGTCGCTAGCAGAATTCGTTTGCTCGCCGAGCGCACGTGTAAAATTCTCTCTTGTTTGCCCGTTTGCTATCCTACGTGTATCTGCACGCAGCATCTGCATCTCGCGCAAGCATGGAGGCTTGCAAGTAACGACGGCAGGCTTTATCGAAAGAACAAATAATCTTAATAATCACGCGCGGAGGTGAGTTCGCCGGTCTGGCGTTGTCGAAAGCCGGTCGGGAGGTGTCGATAAGGTCAGACCTTATCGCGAATTCCAATACGCCCGATAAACGTTCGAGCGCGAGGAGCCTGATTGCGAGAGGAAACCTGCATCGAAAGGCACGTACGTGTAGGGATGAGAAGCGGAGTACCGGGGAGGGTGGAAGGGCTCAGAGCCAGCGAAGGTGATTCATTAGTCGTACAACACGGAAGTGTTTGGTCCATGCGGATTCTCGACATGTTCCCGCCCATGCGTGTGCGCGTGTACGCGTGTGCGTGCCGGGGACCTCCGAGGCCAAAGCGGGGCTCTCTTCGTGGGCCTCCGCGCCTTATTATGCGCGACGGGGGCCTCTCGAACGAGTCGGGCGTTTCGGCTCGATCCACCGTTCCAGGCTTTAAAAGACAGAATATATTGCGATAATTCTTTCCGTTCGATCGCGGACCGGCTTGCCTTAAACGCGACGTTGTCGCTCCTCTTTCCACGGCTGGAGTCATCCACCTCGCCGCGAGTAAGTACCCCCACAGGTGAAACGGATGTGAGGGGAGTCGAGTGCAGCGAATAGAATGGTGGAGGCTTCTCTCAATACTGTACCGCGACCCGTTACCCCCTGTAGCTAATCTAGAATTTATGTCCCCCGTAACTTACCAAGGTGCACTTTATTACGTCCGGAATACGAGAATTTCATCTGCCCGCGACGACGTCAAATGGATAACTTGATACGTCTCGCGGCGTGAATTCATGGCGTTAGAACCTCATCCGGTTCCATTAGATGCCCGCGATATCGAGTTTTACTTCATATTTGGCACTAAATAGCCCGTTAAACCGGCGTAAATTTTACGAATGATTATAATATAATACATTACAAGCTCCCTTCGACACCAGGTGTCGGAAGAAGAGAATATTTCACTTATGCGAAATTTACCTACAAAGTTTAAATTTACGATATTGTTGCGAATTACTTGTACTAGGTACGTTCGGACTCGTTAGTTGAGAGACGATGCAATTATTATTTGCAACTTTTACGAAACAATACTTTTGATCGAAAGCGCGAATCGCAAAATTGTTCCCCAAATTGTAAGTGATAATTGCTTCGCCCGCGCGTAAGCGAAGTCACCGTCTTTGCCGAATGGAATAAACTTGTCCACCGGTGTCTCAGATTCCGCCGGAGCGCCTATTACTAATCGCGCGGAGTCTTCTCACGCACCGCAAGGACCGCGAATTCTGCAGATTGCCTCCGCTTCCTGGTTCATCTCAGCTCATTCTCCGCTTGCCGATCAAACGGTATTCCGTCGGTATAATGCGGAGAATCCGCCGACCTTCCGCTAGCAGATTACGCGATGACGCCGGGTGTAATAGGTCCCCGGGATTATCTCCGCAAGTGAAACATCTTCCAACCGAAGGCATCCACCAGTTTCCAAGCGTGGTCGCTCGGCGCGACTTGCCGGATAATAATCGGTCGATTAGCCTTATCGCACGCGGAAATTCAGCGTCGATTTGTAAATAATCTAATTGCCTACGTCGTTAGTGAAGCTCGAATAAGTCGTGGAGTATAATGCACGCCGATTTTATATATA